TTTTTGCTTTTTGTATATTTTGTCTTATTTTGTTGTTTTTTGTATTTTTTATTTTGTTTATTAATTATTTTGATTGGTTTGTGTGTTTTCAATTTTTTTTGTATCAATCTGATATGGCGTTGCAATAAATATCTAATCTATTCTAATTATAAAGATTTCATCTAACCTAGAAATAGGTAATTTTCAGAGTTAAGTTCATAATAATGATGTATTTAAGAGAACACATGTTGTATAGAAGTTGACATGTAACAAACTAGGTATAGTTTCACGATGTTGGGCCAATTATTAGACAAACAAATATATTGAAGGTATATTATACATTTATACACATGGATTTCATAACTCAATGATTAACTTAAACACGTTTATAGTTATTTTGGTCAATTTCATTGATAATGATTGTAAAATGTAACTAAAAGACAAAATAATTATAACAATTTGAATAACGTCAGTATAGATATCAAATTACGCACACAACACTATGGTTATATCATCGAGTATATAACCAGAAATAGAGACGAAATGTCATTTAATTTGTTTGAAAACTATTCTGCCATATCATTACTGTGACAACTGCGCTCCGATTGGCCACCCCGAGTTGGAAACAATTGACGGGTGTCATCAATGGGTGTCGTCAACTGTGTCGCTTCAAATCGACCAGTTAACTTGAGCGTTGCTATAATAGACGAAAATTGCAAAATTACATATTGAATATTTAATTACCGATGAAATGTGATTCCGTTTGTTTTGTAATTAGATGTTTTGCTGTTTTTCCCACACCACCGAATAGAACAGCACGGCATTGTTAGAGATATTATCTTTATTATAATAAATACAGAATATTTTGGAATATACGGAGACTTACACACAGATCAGTAGTTGGCCTGTCTATATTTCAGTGCACACGAGAGTTGATATTTATAAAAGCTGTATCGCTAATGTGTTACCAGGAATATATGGCCCTTATTTCGTCTCTATTTCTGGTTATATACTCAATGGGTTTTATGAAGCAAGAATGTACAATTTTGTGGACTTCTAAACAGCGCCATCTATTATCCAAAGTAAACACTGACCTTGTCACTAGTGCACAGATCCTTCATAATTTCTTCACAGAAGTATTTGGACTTCCCATAAGGACTGGTCATACCGCGTCCCGTAGGGTGATTCTCATCTAACGGCAGTCTGTCAGGCTCGCCATACACGGTACACGACGAGCTGTAGACCAGTTTATACACTCCATATTTTCGCATAACCTAGAAATAAAAAAAGCACAGACCTGTGTCACTGGGATGTAAAACAGTATATTGTCGCCTTAGTTTCTCAAACTCGTATCTTAAAGCACAAAGTTACTGAAATGCCAAAAAATGGATTGTACATTTCCTTCATATTGTGTAAAAATAGAAGGAAATGTGTACTGTATAGGTAAGGTAGGCCAGTGTGTACTGGCTTAGAAAGTGTACCTACTTAACGTCTGAACGAAGTTTTCCTTAACCCGAATGCACCCGAAGACGTCCGAATGTTTTTGATTGCGTCAGTACTACGCCGACGACTGAAGGCAGCCGAAATTCCACTGATGCCCTTACGTCTGCATCGGCGAATTGGCTTTATGCGACAAAGTGTGGTAAAAACATGATCACCTCAATCCGATTCCGCGTCGATAAATGTGGTTTATCTCTTATTGTACCGCCCGCATCCAACCACTATCGACCACCTTTCTCAGATCGTCCGTGCATATTGCCGCAGTGCAACCTTAACTACGTGTGCTATGATGTGATCGCCACTAAAGAACAAATCTGTTTTTTTTTAATATATAATATCAAGTGACGGGACTAACAAGTCATGCGCCTGATGGTAAGCTACACGCCTGTCCATAACAGTTGCACTGCCACTCAGAGCTTCAAATGTGGCCATCGGCCCTTCTGCAGACATGACCGGCCCACTGCTACTTCAGATTTTGCCTTTAGGTCTCTGACTTCTAATAAAACTTACTTACCTCAAACAGCGTGCAAGTCCCAGAAATATTAACTTGGTAGTATTCCAAAGGTTTCTGCACGGATTCGCCGACAGCTTTTAGAGCCGCGAAGTGAATCACGCTTTCGATATTGTGCTGCAAATACGTATTAAAAATAACTTATAACTTTTATATTAAAAAAAAGACCTCATAAGTTTGCTTACAGACTTTATTTTGGAATTACATCTTTTTTCCAAGTTTTATGGAAATTGCGCGAACCGGACCAATACTGAGATACCCTCTTTCCTAACAAAAAAAAAGAATCATCAAATCGGTTGCATACACACACAAAAAAACAGCCGAATTGAAAACCTCCTTTGAATTCGGTTAAATTACATCTTACTTGGGAACTCATACTACGAGCATGAGATCAACGAAAATAATTTTGTCACAAAGTAATTTTAGTAGCAGTAATGCTCCTTGTGAAACGGTTCGTCGTGTCACATCGTCGTTACATCTAGAATGTTTCAAGTTAGTTAGTTGTGCCATGGGAAGAATTTTATTATTCTCGAGCACATGGTGGAGCTCGAGTAGTGCAGAAAAGTCTAATAATCAGGGATCGGAATAGGTAGAGTTTTTTTACCTAAACTTCGAGGAACCTAGACAGAAAATGAAGACTGCCTTACGACAATATTTTTTAGGTCCTGGACCTGTTCGGGATTCGGGAAATCACTTAAGTACAGACAAATGAAATATGTTACTAATATTAGACAAATTCGAAAATATTAGCGTCTTAACAAAAACGAACAGGCAAAGTAGATTTAGTACCTTAACGTATCTACCTACATATAAACTGACTACAGTCCATTTGTTGAGGTACTTAACTAAATGTAAACAATCTCGAAAAGTCTATTTAATGGAATGTGCACTTAGAAAATGATTTTTACTTACCTTCAAATACAAAATACAAATACTTAGCTTCATATGAAATTGTATGCCTATTTTTGTACCTATTGATGTGTAAAGTATATGTTTCAATAAAAGTATCAAGATTGTTTACATTTAGTTAATTAACTAAACAAATGGACTATAGAAGTACTAACGTATACGGTATGTGGAACGCGGAGCACATATTGCCTGACATACTAAATAAGATACCTGGGGGCCTACTATGAGCTTATAAGCAACCAGCCAAGGTCCATACCATTCACTTGACGTGGTAAAACTGATTTGCTTAAGAGCTCTCATGCCAAAAAAGTTTTGACGTGGGCTCCGCCCAAATTTGTGACACAAATAATATGCCTGAAGTTCGCGTGACATGCGACAGGAGATGTTGATTTTTGCGCATTAAAAGTACCAAATTCGTTTTAGCTGAATAACTCTAAAACTAAAGGGATTAAAAAAAAATCCGTAGTGACAGTTGTCGATCATGCAGAAATATAATTAATTATCTAATTTTTGTCGTAATAACCTGTAGCATTTCCAAGATAAATCGAAAAAATTTGAAAATTAGAGGTCATTTCGTAATTTTTATCTGACGAGGAAACTTTATTATTGTTTTATATATTTATTGTTTTATGTTTCTTATTAATGTCTATGCTTGAATATATCGTGTAGTTACTCATACAGTATTTTATTATTAACTTTAAAGTGGATATACCCCTCTAAAATCAAATCGAAGATTGGGAATTTTTCCTCTGCTCCCTCTTAAATTACAATACACAAAGTTGAACGAGAATGGCATGACAGGATGATGAGTTTTAGTTTTTAAACGTTAATTATTGTCTCTGGCTGGCTAGCTGACATCTAACAAGAGCGAGATGGAACTACATACTAAATCATATGAAAGAAATAGACAGATGTACTCTGCCGTACGCTAACTAAAGTGATAAAATATTTTTTGAGATATCATAAAAAACCGTAACTAAGTTTTAGAATATTAAAATTGTTTAATGATATTTCAGCTAACTAACTACTTTTACAACTAATTTTACCACTTTTCACTTACCCGAGTTTTAGTTAGTGGACGGCAGTACTGTCCTGGGTGCGTTCAAGCACTATTAACCGATTGTGTTCAAAATGAGAATAATTGCATTTTTTTAATTAATTTTATTATTGATTATACTTATTACGTTGTTTCGTAATATCGGCAACTTTTCAATCATACTTTACGATTTGTCATGCGACAAAATTACATGTCATGTCTAGTCATTATCATTGTAATTAATAAGGTGAGTTTGTAATTTGATAACATAATTGGAACGTATCTTGTGTTCGTACATTTTCATTGAATGCATTAAAGTCAAATTTGGCACTATTTAAAAGTTATTTTACGATTTCAAGCTAAGTCAATGAAATTATTAAAATGATTAAAATTCCATTTAGAAATTGCAATAACATTCATGCCAATAATTTATCAACAATACTTTAAAGATTGTAAACTCGAACAAAAATTTTCAAAAAACGCTCAATAGTTATCTCATAATATTTATTTATTGACAATTGGCTACATATCCTAAAAAGATAACAAATAATTATGAAACCGAAAATATAATAAAACTTATACGAAATGTCTTAAGAATGTAACAAAATCTAAAAAACGTTAGTCACGGAGTAACTTTTTTTGAATTGCTTATTTTTACAGATTTGCATGGCAAATGTTACGTCATGGTACGATTTTGGGAATATATAGGTAATAGATAATGGGAAACGTAAACTGCATGGACAGTAAATTGTTTTTGTGAGGTCATAGTACGAATTTGACAGGCAATCCAACTTACAGGCTTAAATAGGACTGCTCTAAGAGCTCTAAGGGTCGTATTATAGAACTCTACTCAATGCTCAAGTCAGGATTTGAGCATACTTGAGTATGATTTCAAGCACTGGAAATACGACCCTAATGGCAAGGACTTGAATATGATTTCTAGTGCTTTGAATCACACTCAAGTCCTGACTTGAGCATTGAGTAGAGTTCTAGTATACGACCCACAGTAACCCCCTGTACAGCCCCATGTAGATATGTTAATGAATGTTAGGAAATGCAAACAAGTATTAAAAAATATTACTTGGGTATTCTTATAGATAAGTAGTATAGGTTAAGTATTCCATGTATTTTGAACAAATAAATGAAAACCGGCGTGCAAGCCACTCGACTGCGAAGGACGTCAAAACAGATTATTATTTGAGCTTTATCGATGTCTCCGGAAAATAAATGTTTGTCAAACTTACATTTTCAAAAATCTGGCCAAGTGCCCGGGCGTCCCGGATGTCCGCATCGTAAAAATGTATCTTTCTGTCTGTCAATTCTTCTATAATCCTCAACGATTCTGGCTTCTTCGCGCCTTTTTCCCTGTAACAAAATTAAATATTTCGAAGAACTTGGTCACTTACTAGCACAAAGGATAATACCTGGCCATAAATATTACACATCGAGCTTTAGAAAAAGACAATCGGCTATAATCGGCTACCTTCGGATTTATTGTGACGGGATGAACAAGTCGTGCGCCTGATGGCAAGCTACAAGCCTGGCCATAACAGTTGCAGTGCCACTGAGAGCTATAAATCGCAAAGATCTGAGGGGCACTGGCACTGCACCCGTCACGTTGAGACATACAAGTCCCATGTGCCTGTAATTTCACCAACACCCTTAACCTTCAAAACCGGAACACAATAATGCTGACATTACGCATAGAGAAATGCTCCGCGATGCTCCGTTATCGGTCCACTGATTGTTAAGACATTTTGAATTGCTTTCGATCGAACAAGTTACAAACAATGTTAAACTTAAAATGTATGTTACGCGATAATTCCGGTGTTTTTGAACCGATTTTGTTGATGCTTTTTTTGTTGGTAAGAGGATACCTCAGTCCCATTTAAATTTGAAATAAACATTCCGCCTTTAAAGGTGTTGCCACTCACAAGGCGATGGGTCCGGTTTCGCGCACTTTACGGTAATCGATTTCAATAAAACTTGCCAAATAGATGAACTGCCACGAACTTTTGAGGTCGGTCTTTTTAGTACTCTATACTGAGTTTATTAAGTTCTAATCTCTTACTTGTAGGCATTGGTAAGGTTATCAACAACGACGATATCAAATGGGTTGCTTGATCGCTCTAGGAGAGATATCACCGTGTGTGAACCCACGTAGCCCGCACCACCCGTCACCAGAATAGCAGAAGTCATTTCGGTTCTGTAAAATAAAAAATAAAATTTAGGAATATCATCAATATCATCCTTCATCATCTTCTCTCTAAGGACAGGATCAAAAAGATAGAAAAAAAAAACATTTACTTTTGACTACCACACCGTTTAGTAGTAGCAGTAGAGCTCCTTGTGAAAGAGTTCGTCCAGGGTAGTACTGCCATCTTACCTATTCCTGCCGCCAAGCGGTAATGTGAGCATTACTGTGGTCCAGTTTTGAAGGGTAAGGGTGCTGGTGAAATTACAGGCACATGGGATTTGTCACCTTATGTCTTAAGGCGACGGGCGCAGTGGCAGTGCCTAAGACATTTGCGATTTAAAGTTCTGAGTGATACTGCAAATGATATGGACTGACCGACGTGTCGCTTACTACCAGGCGCACGGCTTGTTCCCGTCAATTGATATTATAAAAAAAAGGAAAATACAATTTATTATATATTTTTTATAGATAAGTAAATAGATAACATTAAACCACATTAATCCGCGGCCTATCGTATGCACTTGTTTCAAAAAGTAATACTCGACCACTTTTGCATTTCCAAAAGCAAAATGTATACTCTAAAGTGCCAGAAATAAATTGCTACTTAACACGTATTGTTATCGCCTGTTGGACATTAGCGTATTTTGCCATTCTTACATTGTATGACAGGCATGTGACATACCATGAGATTCGGGAATCTATAGGCATAGGCATGGGTCAAATACAATCAATACTAAACAGCCATTTGGGTGTGAAAAAGCTGTGCTCTCGGTGGATCTCACACAATTTGACTGAGGCTAAAAAAAACGGATCGCGTCACTTGGTGCAATGCCATGCTTACCAGATTCAACGAAGGGGCGTCAAATTTGGTGTGGGACATAGTAATAGGTGACGAAACATGGATTTATAGTTACGATCCCAAAACAAAGCAGCAATCGAGCGTATGGGTCTTTCGAGATGAGCCGAAACCAAACAGTGGCGCGCGTGTAAAGTGCCTCTAAGCGGATGATTCTTCTTCTTTTTTTAATAAAACTGGACACGTGGCTACTGTTGCTTTGGAGAATCGTTGTACCATGAATAGTGATTGGTACACGACCATTTGTTTGGGGAAGTTATTGACAAGCTCCGTAAAAATAACCGTAAACGCCGTATCATTTTGCACCACGATAATGCCAGTTCTCACACGGCCAGACAGACAAATGAATTTGTGAAGGTGGCGCCTTGTGACCTTTATTTATTTCCAAAAATTAAGAACCAGTTACGCGGCCAACGATTTTCATCACCTGAAGAGGCTGTCGAAGAGTATGAAAAATATGTTTCAGAGATTGTCACGGAGGAGTGCCATAAATAATAATAATAATAACGCTCACACTCAACATAGCCCCGCACTAGGGAAACCCTGTGTCGCGGGTGCCATGGACACACACATAGACAACCACAAATTACACCCAAACTCACGAGAGAAATAAATGTAGGCCATACAAATATTTCTCCCGGCCCGGGAATCGAACCTGGGACCTCTGCGTGGCAGTCCGGCATGGTAACCGTTCGGCCACGGAGGCAGTTAAAATGTTTTCGAAATTGGTTCATTCGTATGAAAAAGTGCATTAACACTAACGGAGAATATTTTGAGAAACAATAAATTAATTTCTGACCATTTACAGTATTTTTTTCTTATTCATTTCGGAAACTTATAGTGCGCCACACGTACAGTGCAGCGACAGAGTTCGCAAAATAGTAAGTAACCTTTGGGTAGCGACTAGCGAGGTCCGAGTGAGGTGCGCTTGCGCGAGCAGTACGACAACAGCAACTTTTAAAAAATATTTGTGGTTTGATTTTTTCTTTCGGGCAGTGTTGCCGTTTTAGCGACTTAGTCGCTAGAATCAGTGAATTTTAGTTTTGTTTTAGTAATAAATAAATTTAGAAACTTTTTTGGATCCGCAGGCAATTTCAGAATTAATAACGTGACCTGTTAATGAAATTAAGCAATAGTAAGTTATATTCGTATGTCTGAATTTCAAGCCTAACCCTGATAACACTACATAGAAAGAGACTGAAAAAGTAGATGTGTAATTTCTTGTCTCTAAATATGGACATTCATTTTAGAATATTAGTATAGTTGATTCGATTTTATTATATGCTGTGAATTTCATAAAAATAATCTTCAAAACACTTATTTAATGTTTTTTCAGTTTTCTAACAATTTTAAAGAATTATTTAGATGGCAACAGAAACATATCCGAAAAAACCGAGTAACCGGTTTTGAAAATCACTCGATTTTTGTGTGCTCTAACTGCGACTGTCACGAATAGGCGCTTCGCTCCCTGTTAGGCGCACGACGAATTCATTTAAAAAATAACAATTGCAAATAATACATAATACAATATACCTAATGGCGTTTATCATGATTGTTACCACGACAAGAACACGCGAGTAAATACCCTTGTAAAATTTCCGATAAAGTTAAATGTTAAGAATAATAATAGCTTATCAAGTCGTAAGCGATGTTTGTCTACTTCTAGTGTTTATCATAAGCTCAATACAATGTATTTACCTATTGCAATAACTATGGCAATAACATTTTAAATTACTAACAATTAGTTATAAATACAAAGATCGAACATTCAGAAAAAAAATCCTTCGATTCGAACCGACGTCTCCTAGCAAACCGTGTCAGACGCTATGCCACGGAACGAACCAGCGGACCTCACGAATTCTTCTGTGTGCTTGTTGTCGGATCTTTGTATTTGGTTTTCAACAACTTTTTAACCGTAGCGCCGTCTATGAGAAATCTATGAAAGTATTTCATCACCCGGTTAGGTTACCTTTACAGCTACCAGCCCTGGCTTGAGATACCCCTATTAACTGTTGTTCAATTAATAAATTGAACATTAAATAAACATTCAACATTTTTTATTTGGTTACATTAATAGGCAACATTTGTAAAATATAAGTTAGATGTCGTGTTAAGTATGTATTACGTTTTATGGCAATACTTCTGCTCGAAAATCTGTCCCGTACAAGTTAAGTGTGCTTAGCTGTATTTAAAATATACAATTTAAGTTTCTGGCCTCCGTTTTATTGAACAGGCTAAGTGGTCCTTCGAGCCAGATTTGAACCCGCGCCCTGTGGATTTATGGATTAAAAAAATATTTAAGTCAACTGTAATTATTTTTTTATTGAATGTCAGAATGTTTCACCACAATGATATTCAATTATTTTTTTGTAAAATTTTATTAACATTTTTTTAAAGTAGGTTTTTAGCACACGAAATCATTCAAGTTTTAATTAATCAATTCATCGACCGACTAAAGCACTTACTTAAAAATCGATAGTACCTCAGCTCGGATATTTTTTTTTTAATTTATTTTTAGGAATCGTGTTCACTACATATAATATCTCTTCTGTCTATATCCTCAATTTTACAATATATATTTTCTAAAGCGATTGATTCAACATTTTCACTGTTATGCGGAATCAACCAAAGCCATTTAAGGTTGCATACTCTTTAGTTAAATTCATTTGTTCCAACTTAAATTCTAGTGGCGTCGTTTTCAACCTTATCTTCATATTATCTGACATTATAAACAACACGGAACAACAACGTTGTTTCTTCATTTTTTACTATGTGCTAAGTCTACCGACCCTATGCTCCAAATTCGATGTAAATTAAATGTCAAGAACCAAAAACGTATGATATCGAGTTCTTAGGTTTTCACGATTGTTACACATAGGAAATGAAACTAGTTTTCCGGATTTAAATCGCGTATATTTGTTTTATCAAATAAAACAACGTTTCGGGCCCTTCACAGGTCCCATGGTCATGTCAACCGTGACCATGAGACCAGTAAAGGGCCCAAAACGTTGGTTTGTTCGAAAAAACAAGTATACGCGATTTCCTACGAAAAACATACGATTTTTAGGGTTTACACCCGATACTAATAATACTTTTCCCCGAAATCCCATTTGGCTATTGATAATAACAGTCTTGAAGTCATGTACGTGATGAATTTTGTTCAATAGAAGTTTTACCTATAACACTGTGTCATTCCCAATGATTTCTTGATTTGAAGGCAGAAATTGGAAACATTTCTAGTTCGAATAGTAATTGAAGTTTTGTTTCTACAATTTTGTTTCTTTTCATCTACCATAGCCGGCCTATCTCTTTTACAAAAATATTGTTTATAATGACCCTCCCAAGAAACCTCTTGGTTATACGGGAAGGGTACTATAACCTCGACCTGGACCTGACTCGGTCAGGTCCTGACCCCGGATCAGCCCGTTTGTATGGACTTCATCTGGTTCTCAGAAGACTAGTGCCTTGGGTGAGCTGCCGCGGATGCATGCACAGCCTACTATCTAGCAGTGAAATGAATAGGTATTCAAAACGTGACAATAAGCAGTAAACACTTCTCTCACACATATTCCCAACATACACACATGTATATCAACAACACTATACATACTGTCAAAGACGAAATGTAAGCCATAAGTATTTACTGGCCAAATATTGTGAAGTTTTTTTTTACTTATATAACCTAATTATCTACAAAAGTGTTTGCATTCTAATTACACGAACAGGACAGGGACCACTCAATAATGAGCATTGGTAAAAAATGTTCTATTCCTATGCCATCATTGGTTGCTTAGCAACGATTTGTTATTAAACATTCTATATCGAATTTGGCTAGAGTATAGATATATTTCCCAAGCTTTAATTTCTACTCCACACCTCACGTGTCTAATCTTGCATTACAAAAGCGGTACGTCAATTTCTTTTTTTATTTGGGTGCAAATTTATCAATATTTACAAAATAGCACCATTTCGCCAGGAAACCATTCATCAGTTTTGTACATTGTCTGACACAACGACATTATCTTTATTGGTTGTATTTTAAAAAATTGATACGATCGATCGGGGATTATTACAGTTTTACGTTATCGCAAAATTTTTGTCTACAAAAATGTTAAAGATTATCCAGTGCTAAAATTAGGGCAACAAGGTTCCA